ACCCCCCCCAAATGTTTAAGTCTATTTCAGATAATAAATCATAGAATTCTGATATTTCTTTCTGAGAAGTCCAGTCTGTAAGAAAAAATGGCTCACTTGTGCAGTCATCACAAGAACAACTTGTGTTTGCATCATCTTACTGTTATTTAAATCCTTCGTGTAAGGGGCAAAGTGTGATTTGCAGTAGGCAAACAGAGCATTAAAGCTGATGCTGGTCGTGCCTATTGCATGTTCCACACCTGGTGTGGCAGGCAGAGCCTGGGGGTGTTGTTGTGAAAGTTGTGCTGAAATAGGAGAGCAGGAAAGGAGCTTAAATGGGCTTCTTGGTCATCCCCTGGAGCTCTGTTGTGAGTCCAGTTCTGGATCTGGTGAGCTGAGGCTACACTTCCTGAAGCCATGTGTGCAATGGGCCCTGTAGTGACCTCTCTAAGGCAGCTGTGGGAATCTCTGATTTGGGCCTCCTGATGTTTTGTTAACGAACCCCTCTTTTTTCTCCTGGCCCTCTCCAAACTTCTCCTTTTTATACCAGAATCATCTGGGTTGCAGCAATGATACTAAATAGATGGGTTGATCAGAAAGGCTAACTTGATGATGTCTTAAAGGTCCTCTTGTAGAACAATCCTTTACTGCTTTTCATCACAAAAAGCAGAGGGCACAGAGGATAGGAGAGAAAAAGTAATTACCTGTCAGCTGCTTCCTTTTTTTTCTTGTGAGCTTAAGAATCTCTTGTGCTGTAAGGTTCTGTGGTGAGATAAAACTGATGTATTTCTTTGGATCAGCAGGTTTTTTTAACAGCTGTCAGACAACAATCCACCACACTGCAGCTGGGCTCTGCTTAATTTTGAGATTAGCTGATGTTGGTCATGCTGATAATACATAGCAGCCTCTGGGTTGGCTGAGGGGACAAACTCCAGGTGTTTTTTCAAAATACTGGTTCTGTTTCAGTGGCTGATGTTTTCAGGGATGAAACATCACCTGTGCAGGAGTTTGGTTTGCCGTTTGCTTCTTGCCAGCTTTCCTGGTGCTGGATGAGTTTGTGGCTGTTGCTTTGGCAAGGTTGTCAGTGCTGCAGTGGAGGTTCAGCAAGGGTTCGGTGTTTGTGATGTGTGGTCGTGCAGTCAGGTCAGAGCTGTGTTACTGTACTGTAAAACCCCAGCTTGATAAAGCCGATAAGTGCTGAAAATTTAATGATGAGCATGAAAAGCATGAGCCCAACCCTGCAAAACTGGTAAAGAACCCACAGCACTTCTAACCAGACCCTCAGCTCTGGTGTTGCAAAGCTGAAGTCTTACAGCTCCTTCATGTGTAACGAGACAGGGAGCCTCTTTACAGAGTGGTGACTGCTTCACTTCTCCTGTAAGGCACAAGAACACACTGATGCTAATTTTGTTGCCAAAAAATTTGCTACAGCACTTGTCTATGCATGAGCAGGAGCTGGCTCATGGCGTGGTGCCGCGTTCCTTGCACAGGCAAACCTCCTGGTGCTTGACAAGGAATTGCATCCTTAGTAAAATATACTGGGAGGCAAATGTATCATTGCTAACTTACTAAGACCCACTCTTGTAAGCATTTCTGTAACTGCTTAGTGTTAGCCACAGAATCATCAGTTCCATACTGATTTTGAAGAGGAAATATGCAGGTGTCAAGCTCAGCACATCAATAAATTTCTGCAGAGCTGGTTTTGTAATGTACCTTTAAATCCTTAACCTTAACCTCACTCTCTAGGTTGGAGACTTGAGAGTGTTGCATTCAAGACTTTGTTTAGGACTTAAAGTAAAAGAAACAGAACAAACTTTCACAGATGACTAGTAGGAAGTTCTCCTAGAGATCAGTTGGGTTCCTGGATTTTTCTAAATAGGGTTGATGATCAGACAGCCCTTCTGAAAGGTCTGGGCTTTCTGGCATCTTTTGAAAGTCTGGTAATGATGGCTAAATAATGCTAAATACTAAAGGTATGCTGTTACCACAGCACACTAGTACTTACTTTAGTTCTTTAGTACTTATTAGTATTATAGTGCTCTACAAGGAGAAAAGAGCTTTTTCCTCTTAAGAGGAGAAAAGCAAAATATTTTGAAAGCAAAATTTTGCTTCTAGGCACTTATATAATCTATATAGGCAGAGATTGTGATAGATAATGTCACCCTTTGTGCATTTCAGATAAGCATCTCTCTAAACACAAATGTGATCAGCATGTCTCCTTGTCCTTTTGAGACTCAGTAGCAGCTTTGTCGAGTGGCTTGATAATTTTTGCGCAAAATTCAGTTGGACTTCTGAGGTCAGCAGCATGTAGAGGAGGATCTTCAGTTGAGGTAAGCTCTCCCGAGAGCATTGGCCATTCCCAGCGAGCAGGGGCTGCTCTGCTGGGCTCCCCAGAGCCAGGAGTGGAGCCTTTCCCTGCCCACCCAGGGTTTGGGTGGCCACATCCCTGCTCCCCCCGCCAGGCAGGTGAGGCTCACATCCCCACATGTGAGGCTCAGAGAGGAACATGATTTATTGTACTCTCAGCTGTGGAGGAGGAGCTCATCCACACTGGGTTTGTATCAGACCCACTTGGCTACGCTATTGGAAGAGGATAATTATTGAGCTATCGTATTGTATGGTTATTCCTAAGTTGTTGATTTTTGGGGTGGTTTTTTATTGATTTCAGGAGGCAGCTAATTGCCATATGGCAGCTTGATGTTAATGTTTTATGAAGATCAGGAAACAAAAGTTTATGAAACAAAAGCTTTTGTATAGTAACTGCAGAGTTTCAAGAACTGTTTTATACTTCCTGACAGTGCAGGTCTGGCTTAATGGTTTGTTTTTACTGCTTAAGAGTGTAAACCTTTCTTTAGCCGATGTGTGGAAATTATATCCTCATCCCGCATTACACATTTCTCATTGCTCATTACTCATTCCTGCTTTCATTGCTGCCATCTGTAATCAGAGCTTTACTGTTTCAACTGCATGCAAAATGCTATCCTTTGCACAGTAAGATACTTTTCCTTAGCATTCATCCACCCTTTCAAAAAAAACAAAAAGGTGGGGGGAAAAGGGGGGGAAAAAAAAGGGGGAGGAAAAACCTACTCTGTCTATATTGTTTTTCTCTGTTTTGGGTGGAGTCTGTGTTAGATTTTGGTTGCTAGATGGTTTCTGTAGTAACAAGCAGAGTAAAATCCAAGCCTGAAAAGGCACTTTTAAAGGTGCCATATCTTGCCTGAAGTATTATTTATCTAATTATGGTTATGGAATGTTTAGTTTCTCCTTTATATGAAGGCAACCTCTTTTGGGAGTGCAGACTGCTGCTATGAGAACTCGATATGTTGTGATCTTAAAACAGGAGAACCACAAATCTTGTTCCCAGTTGACTTAAGCTGCTGAAAATAATAACAAAAAAGCCAAAGGCATTAAATGCATTTTTAAAGATTGCTACAGGCACAGACCACTTTGGTTTTTAGTTACATAGGAAAGGAATAAGAAGCTAAGTTCAGAAGGACACTTGGATTGTACATGTTAGTACAGTAAGGAGGGTGTTGGATACAAGCAACAGTGGTTTGTTTTGTTAGACTACTGTGTACAAGGAAGAAATCCCAGCTTCTTCAGAATATGACTTTTCAGTACTCCAATTTTTTTGTTTATTTCTCCAAAGAGGCTTTGCAGGTGTGTGAGAAAGTAGGCACACACATGGTTACTGCTTTTGCCTTGCTTAGGCACAAAAAGAATTCTGAAAGTATTTCAAGATTGCTACTTTTCTGTCTCTCCAGTACAAGTAATGTACTTTCATTACTTGTATTCCTGACAGTCTTGTCTGCAACAAACAGTAATGGTTTCCTAAGGTGGAGTTTCCTTTTTTTGGAATCTCATCACCTGTCAGTTCCCTCCAGGATTTAGCAACCTTCTGTCCATGAGCCCTGTGAAATGGGAACTTAGAAAAGCAGCTACACCGGGTTTGTCCCGGTTCTGTGTCCTTTGCAGAGACAGCTTTGTCCCAGCCTTCA